ACACACCTTTTATTTTTATTTGTGGTACTTTTCATGTTGCAGCAATGTTACCATGAAGTCTGGTCAGGAGGGTGATGTGAGTGATACTTGTGTGTCCATCGTGAGGAGGTGTGTGTTTATGTGTGCATGTGTGTATGTGTGGGGGGGTGTTGGTTGGTTGTAGACTGCAGACACCATCTCTTCATCTACTTCACTGAAACCTATTCTTTAACCCCTCAAACGTCTCCGTGAACCAGTTTCTGAGGACAGCAAGAAAAAAAAACACAGGTCAAAGTGTGCATGCGGACATTTCTGCACATGTGCGTTTTTTCCTGCGGGTGTACCCGCGCACATACTTGGTTTTGACTGCCGCTTCGCTGCTGCTGATCTCTTCAAAGGTGGTCTTGGCCCTGTCAGCCAGGTCCCTGCCCATCTCTTGCATCTTATCTCCGAATCTGGTAAATGTATCCCCGATGCTGTCATCCTGAGCCTCTGCAGGTGACCGACACAAGTTCAGGTTATACACAGAAAACTCGTATCAGTGAAACGTTTGTGTTTACGGCAGACATGTATATCTTACCTGTATATGCGACCAAAGCCAGCATCAGCACGGCAACTGCGAGGAACAGTTTCATCTTGGCTGCGAGTGTCTGAGGAGCAAGGGACAGAGACAGGTTGTTGTTGAAAAGACGTTTTCATGGGACAAGAGCAATCACATATAAATAAAGTGACTTTAAAAGCAGCGCCCTGGTACGTCAGGGCCACGGAGGGTGGACGGCTCCCTTTACGCACATTCCTCTGTTCCTTAAAACGCATCAATTTAAAACCTCGATCCACAAATAATTCTGTGCTTGACTTTGATGACTTACATGAAGAAAATAAATCAGACTCTAATTACTGAGGATGATCTGATGTGATCTGATGCTTGATAAAAGAAACAGACAGTCCAAACGTATCCAGCCCTGGTAGTGATTTCAGATTTCAAATGTGGAACATACCTTTTTTTCCGTCTCAGCAGAGGAATAAATCGGGAATGTTTGTGCGCCTTTCTGAGTCCCTTTATATATTCCTGCTCGGGTCCCGTCAGGATGACGCAAAAACTGTTGTTATTAAGTCAACACATACATGTGATCACCTTGACGAGCCATTGCCCCCTGTATTGATCAGTTCCAACCGTTAACTGCATCAAAAGATGGTGTTCATGATAAAGACGCCAGCGAAACCGCAACTCTGAACAATAAGTCCTGTGCTGCAGACAATAAATCAATTTATTATCTATCTCTGAACAGATCCCAGCTCTGTGGTTACGTCAGGCGTTAAATAATGGTGTCAATAGATAAGGCGAGACGTGCTGACTATTACCAGTGTAGACCTCAGCTGTCATTTGAAACATGGACAAGCATAGAGTCATGGGTCAAACAATCATTTATTTATTGATAATAGGCCATCAAGGGTTTAAAGTTAAGAAGTTGGACTTAAGTTGGGAATCATTCTGAAACAGGATCAATATTTCATTTCCAAAAGACTGACTTTACATTAAAACTCTCATCAGTGATTTTCATAAAAAAAAATTCTTTTTTTTTTACATTTATACCGATATTTTATTTTTGCAAGCTCAAAGCGTTTATTGTCATATGTGCAGTCCCTGTGCAATGAAATTCTTTCTTTGCTTTCCACTATGAACATTGTGTTTTTAAACAAAACTAAAATCAAAGTAAAAAATATAGAAAAAGGATCAGTGCAATGTAGTGCAATGCTATTGCCTTATGTTCAGTGGATGGAGATGTATTATAATCCCATGACTGAGTAAAAAATTAAGATACCAATCTTTTAAAAAAGTCCTGATTTCCAAATGTGGGGTATAATAAGAAAAACTACAGAAATATTTAGGTCAAAATTTAAGTAACTAATAATCAAGAATGGCCAGAGTCAGTTTTTTCTTCAATCATTATTATAGATGCATTGAAATGAAATGAAATGTTGATTTTGGTAAAGGTGGAGAAAATGTGAGGGCTTTAGAAGAAGAGTTACTTTATTGATCCCTCAAGGGGTTTACATGCATTTTTTTAACCCTGAAACACAATCCCACACACACAGGGCTCATAGACATGCAAATGTGGCGAGAGATGGTGGAGTGATGTTGATGATGATAGTTTATGTAGTCGTGCATATTTTGTGTGTACAATTTTTCAAATAGAAAAATACAAGTTACCCTAAAATAATTCCTTATAATATAAGAAACCGTTTGAATTGTTGTTGAGTACGAGGACACATTTGCATTAAATGGGACTGTAAAGCACAAGTACCTCAGAATTTTACAGCACAATACTTCTAATTGTTTAATTTCTGATTCTTTTTCACAATCTCTGCTAACTCTTGCATATGCATTTTGTGTTATGGGGCAGAAGTCATATCCTGCAGACTGAAGAAGACTTCTTCCAAATAAGGTCCCTTTCTTTTGTCTTTTTTTTAATTAAATGCTCGACTTAGAATTCCATTGCCTCATTTATGTCTCTCTTCCCTTTCTTAATGGGGAAGTAAATCAGACAAATCCAAATGTGACCCATGGTGTAAGTTAGCATGCAAGAGAAAACAGTAAAGTGCATGAACTGAAGTAACCCCCTCATTAAAAACTGTAACCTGAGTAAGAGCCAGGAAGTCTGTCTCTATAGTTTAAAGGCTTCACCACCACTTAACACATCTACTTTCACACCAGGCAGTCTTCAAAAGACCAAATGCACATTTGTTGCTAATGATTTGAGCTAAAAGGTGCTAATGCTACATTGAATGGCCTCCGCCTGCCGCAAATCAGCTTTCACATGCCTCCACTCTCACACAATACCTCCTAGAGACTAAATCTCCATTACTTTTGTGATGAAGTGGCCAGTGGGTTTATGTATGAGCTTGTGCTTGCGTGCATTTAATCTGCTCTTGAATAATTGAAGGAGGCACAGGGCGTGAAAGTGCATGTCTTGCGTGCTCCCAATTTGCAATAACAAGCTTACAAAAAGGCTGTTTTTGTGTTTGGCTGAAGGCCCCTGCAGAGCCTGGTGTTGTGTGCCAGCTCTGAATGGGAGGGAGAGGAAGGAGAAAAGAGCGGGGGCTGTAATGGGGGGTAAAATCTCTGCAGGGGTGTTATCAGAGGGGTTACTAGCAGTCATGGGCTTGCTAGCACCTGATAAATTGCTGGGACTTCATTTTTTTGTTGTTGCAGGGCAGTGCTCAGGTTTCAGACACCCTATAGGAACAGAAGGAGCAGAAGTGCTGAACCTGCAGGATGCTTGTGGTTTTCCTGTTTTTACCGTTCATGTCTGGTCCTTGCAACAACGGACAGTCGAGCGAAGAAGTTTTACTTGACTGAGTTTCAAAACAAACACCGGTTTCTGACAGAAGTGATATCATAGGGCACAAACACCTCTGTCATCATGTTAGTCATCGTTTCACTTTACATGCCCTTTAACACAGAGAGAAATGGTAAACATGTTTTGTTGCAAGACCAAAAGGTTGTTTTGTACAGATATATAATTGCACAACTTTGAAAGACATGCAAACTATGGTAAGTCATCTGTATTTATATAGGGTTCTACTGGTCTGTCACTCAAGGCACTTTTTTTGCCATTAATACATTCATACAGTGCATGCGCGGCACTTTTTTGGACAGCTGTCAAGCAATGTGTTCAGTATCTTGCCTGAGGACAGTTTGGCATACTATATGTAATTTAAAGTCACTCAAATTTTACTTTTTGAGAATATTGTCTTGATTTCTAAGAGCCTACGGTGAAAAGTGCAACATCAAATGTGAAAAATACCCAATTTTACCCAATTAGATCAGCCAATTCCCTCATACTCTCTCAGTTGTACTCGTCCCTCTACATTTCTTCTACTCATTAAATGTAATACTTTCCTCAGCTTTTTGTCGTTCACAGAGGCTGTGCATCTTTATTTTCTGACACAGTTTGCTCAATCTCCTATAAATGAAAACACAGCTGCAGCGTCGTGCAGCACGGATTCAAGTGGAGGGGTCAGAGAAGAGAAGCAGAGATGAACGAGGGACAAATGGTGTCCTCTGCTGGCCTCGGCTTCGCACTTCAAAGTAAAAATCCTGCTGAGTTTGATCAGTGGAGCTTTGAATGCAAGAGTTACTAGTTCAGGACAGTGGGGACCATATTTATCCCCTGAGGCAGGTCCAGCTGCCTAGTCTTCTTTTGCATTTGAAGGCACAGAAATAAGATAGGGATCATGTTTTTGCTGGTTCTGGCATGTTTGTAGATAACCATAAGAAGAAGAAAAAGAAAATCATCAGAAATACACATACACACACACCCATAATTTTACAGAAACAAACAATGCAGTTTCATATGCATCTTTACCACCGGGTGACGTGTGTGCGCGTTCTTGCTAACACGCTGGTTCTACAAACAATATCTGTGTATGATGGCAGGCCAAGATAAAGGTAAATCAGTGTCACCAACACGTATTCTGTCTGGTGCACGCTGTGTTCCCAAATGCCTGCTGGGATCAATAGAAAGGAATCTGTGAGCAGATCTTCACAAGTCTGGACCAGAAAATGGTCGGGCGGGTGGGTGTTGCAAAGGGTGTTGGCTTTATGAGAAGAGCAAATGGGGAGCGGGAGATGTTTGCGGCGGAGAACAGGTACAAGGAGCAGGTGAAGAATGCAGTTTTGTTATTGTACGTCTATATGAATCATGTGTGTGTGAAGTGAGTTTGACAAAGAGATGTCCTGAGCCTCTGTGTTGATGTGTGTCAGGAGGTATATGAAAAGTGGCAGATTGCTTCAGATAAATTCCCTTATATCAGCTCATGTAGCATTATGCAACTGCTACTAACTATAAGGACAAGAGGTGTAAGTGGCAGCTTTGCATCATTAAGGCAGTTTAAGTTTAGAAAAATTGCTCAGTTTTGTGGCATCGCTGCACATAACATATGTGATTCTCATCTTACAAAATATACTGTGGATTAATGATCGTTTTCAGAGACAAGGTGGAGACAGAGTATGTTTTCTAGGTTCTTTATTCACTCAGCACTGTTCAGCACAGTCCAGCCACAGGCCGTGTGCAGTTAGTGAGCAGCATGGAGGACATGTGAAACATTAGGGACACTGAGGAAACAGACAGGCAGCATTACACTTAAACTCAGTGTGAGCGACAACAGTATAAACAGCTCGGACAGAAGGGCACTTTAGTGGTTCCGTATCAGCTCCAGGATAATTACACATTTCCGCCTGTTCCGATTATTTTCACTTTCACATTTCAGTGCATTTAACGGAATGAAAGACACTTGTGCATGTTCGGTTCATTCAGAAATGATACAGGTTGGAGTTTCCTGCCTACGAGGCTCAAACTCAGTGGTTATTTTTTTTGCATCCAAATGAAATCTTTGAAACAGATTGTAAAATTTAAGGAGATGGGGTTTGGCAGCTAGTACAGTTAGAGTAAAGTAGAAAAAGCAAAGCATATTACAAATAATTGTCTTGTTTGTGCATGAAAGGCTGCTATTAACTGTGCTGCTCGTGTTCATGGAGAAAGGGGGTTGATAAGAGAAGAAGTGAGGGTGAGGATGCAGAGGAGAGAATGTTCATCTGATGACCTCCTCATCCTCCCTCCTTCCTCTCATCAGCCTTCTAACCCTGAACACCAGAGCTCCATAAATGAAGAAATCATCAGTGTCTTTCAACTGACCCCTTTCTGTGCTTTAAACATTTTCTCCTTCTACTAACCCAACCACCTAAAAAACCCTCAGAGTCTTTCTTTAAGCAGAGGCAGATTCCTTGACCTTGTCCATGATGTTCTCAATCTGTTCACGGATCTTGGTGGCGTAGGGGGCGAACAGCTCGGTCAGCTCATCGATCTTGCCCTCCAGGGAGGTGCGCAGCTCCTCGGCAGTGGCCTCCAGCTGAGTCTTGAGGCCCCCGGCCTGGCTCTCAAGTTGCATGCCCAGACCATCAGCCTGGCTCTGCAGCATGGAGGAAATGTCGCTCAGCCTCTTGGCGGCGGTGTCGCTGACCTGCTGCACGTAGGGCTGGACCTGCTCCTTCACTGTGTCGAGGTTCTGGGAAGTGCGGGACTGGAGCTCACCCAGGTAAGTGGCCACGGTGCTGGTGGTGGAGAAGGAGAAGATAATTAGTTTCTGATGAAGGACAAGAAAATAAAAAAAGATAATGTGAGGAAGACTCCACAACACTTACTTGCGGATCTCCTCTGTGTCCTTGTTCAGGCGCTTCTTCAGCTTGTTGGAGTAGATGCCGATACGGTGACGGACATCTTCGGTGTTCTGCTCCATCATGGTCTTGAGCTCACCCAGATACTCAGTGCTGCGATCCTTGGCGTCCAACATGTCCTTCTGCAGTTTGTTGGCCAGAAGCTGCAGGTCCTGAGACAGTTGGCCGGTAGACATGTCAGCATAGGGGCTCAGCTTGGTCTGGATGTCATCTGTGTAGGTTGAGAGCTCTGCCATGGTGTCGGTGATCAGAGTACTAGAAAAAAGAAGAACAGGGTGGTCATGAATGATAAGATGAAGACGGAGATCTGGAAAACAGTATATCAAGGTAAAACCACCTCCAGAAAATGATTAACTTTTCAAATGAACTTACTCTAGCTCCCTGCTGAGCTGAGAGGCCTTAAGGTTCTGCACGACTCCATCAGTGTTGGTGTTCAGCTCATGGATGGACTGCCAGAAACGCTCCACAGTATCCTCCCAGCGGTTTGGGGTGGCATCAGCCTGGCGCACAACACGGGCGTTGCAGCCTATTGTGGACACACATAAGATAACACACATAAATAAACCAGAACAGAAAAAATAACAGGCTGCTGATGCATTTACTATCAAAACACTTACCAGTGATGACTGCCAGAGCAAGGATCAGAGCTACAGACTTCATGGTTGCTGGACAGATTCACTCCTGTGGGATTAAGAGGTAAAATAAGAAGGAGAAGGAGAGAAAACTTGACCGTGATGAAAATGTAAAAACAAATACAGTCACATCCAATAACTGACAATGCAATCAATTTCATTCAGAAGTTCAGGTTTCGTCCTGGAAAAGGAATCGTGGTGTGTCTGCTCTTACTCACCTGAGGGGTTGAGCTTCTCAGTACTCTCTGAGTAGAGACTGAGGGTTTTTATACAGTCCCAGGGGATGGGGGGGGGGGGGGGGATGGGGGAGTGAATGCTGGCGTTCGTTCACGTGGAGATGATGATTTGTGTGCTGAGTATAATCCTGTTTCCTTGCACATGTCGTGCCACCAACACTGCGACCGAAGTTTGAAGGGTTGATTGAGCAACAGTGCTGCCACAAGAATAAACAGGGTCAAAGTTTCATGTCCAGTCACAGAGCGATGATGAACGTTTCCATGTTTATTTGGTTGTTTTGCCTTATTTTTCCTCACAGATATTGATTATTCAGCATAAATGAACCTTTATTCACATTCCACATGTTAATTTCAGAGGTTTGGCTGAGAAGTTTTCTCAAGACAGCTCTGTTCATCATATTGTATTTCTTGTATCAGTAGTCAGACCTTCCAAGAGAACAAAAAAAGTCATCCCTCAGTATATACTGTTAGATGTCTTTTTTGACTTTTTACCAGATTTTAACCTTGGTTTTGCTTTTTAAACATTCTTGTGTTGCATGTGTTGTATTATAAGGTGTTTGTGTCTGTTTACTCTTGGTTTTACTTTAATTATTCATGTATTTATTTATGATATATGGTGTCCTTGGATGTCGACATATAAAATTATCATTAAAAAAACTCCATAGCATGTAAGTAAAGTCATGCATTAAAATTAACTTTTAATTAAGTATGATGATTACAGATTTGGCAATTTTAACAATTTAAATTGAACAAGTTTGTGTTTTTTGGATATATGTACATGCTTTCCATCAATTTTCGTCTTGTTACTCAAATTGTCTTTTTCTTTTTTCATGGTAGTAACAGACATTTGAATTCCTCCTCTGCCTCTTGTTTTCGCAGGTTTTGTTTAAAGCGACCAAAGCTTCTCAGGCTTTTTCTCAGATCGTTATCAGCAGTGATCTAATCTGAATATAAATTCCCCCGGCACCAGGAAGTCATTTAAGGTGCTTCACATGCATTTCAGACCATCACATTTGCATTTCAGTGTGAATGCTCTGTGTCCCCACCTAATCACCCCCGACAGACACACAACCCCCAACACATGGGGCATCTTTGCATCTCAATCCCATTCCCCTATAGTCCACATGGTGAATGTAGCACATGCTTTTCTGTATTCCATTTGTTTACCGCTCACTTGAGACACATAATGTCGCAGGAAGAAGAGCTTTAAATCACTACTCGGTACATGAAGTACAAATAATACGTCAGCAGTACAAGTGGGACATGTTCGGGCATGGGAATACTCTCAGGCCCAGCAAGCCCACTGTTAAAAGAAGATTTATGAGATAAAAAAATAAAAGCACATAAACTATTGCATAACCATAAAAAACAGCACAAGGACCCTGAACAAAAGGAAAAGTAAATTACCAAGGAAACACACAGAAAAACACACAATACATTTGTTTTTATGTTGTAAAAGAAATCCAAGAAATCTCCAGGATTTTGAAATTGGCACAGGAAAGGGGAAGTTTGACACAGAATGAAATAGAAAACTGCGGTTGATCGGACAAATATTTGCTTAATGTCAGAGCACTGCTGTCATGAGCACTGGTGGATATTTAGATGGGACCAGCATCTCCATCACATACCTGTGATAATGGAGGTTTTAATACATTGACAAAAGTCAATAAAACCTTCACAGAAGATGTTCACTCTGATTCCTGAGTAAATGCTACTTTGAATGTAATTTATTTATAAGAGCCTGTCATTGATAAGTGAATTTGAAGATGTGGCATGTTTTGTTTTTGCACCACCCTTTTGTAATATTTTAATGGAAGCAGCAAAGATCTTAGTTGGTGTTTTATTGCCCTTATTACTTTAAATTCACTCAGAGCTAGAGTCTTAGCCTCTTGGAAAGTAGGGCAGATTATTAATGACTCACACACTGTGTCATATTTAACCTGATATGTTTTGTAATTTTCTCCAGTAACTGAAAACTTTCTCACCTAAATTAAACTCCATAATTTTACCCATCACAGATTAAGGTTTAGGTTGTACCCCACCATCCTAACATCTTTAAATATGTTGTTTTCTTTTTCTATTGCTTATGATTAAATCCTTTTTTTCAACTTCAACTCTGATTCCTTCGCTGACCATGTGTAACGACCTTTGTTCTTTAGCACCGGGCCAACAGTTTTCTGTGTTCTGTCATTTTTTTCACAGAAACGCAACTTTACACAAGAACAAAGTGTGAACGGGCTTGGGCGGATAATTAGTGTGAGGACATGATAACATGAGTGTGTGATAACTCTGAGAGGTCAGCACACAGATGAGATTAGGACACAGGGCCAGATTGTCCAGCTGTTTTGTAATTGTGAGACAAGATGTTCTTTGGTGTCTTTAACAGTGAGATGAAACAGTTTAAAAATGTTGAAGTGTAACTTTTCTGTTGAGAACAAAAGACCTTTGATCTTGGTATTCCTAATGCTGACGCCATTATCCCATACATCCTATTTCATTTGGTTTTTGTTTATTATGTTGACAGAAACATTAACTTGCACTACAACTAATAAGATTAATTTTCAATATCTGTAAATTGCTGGACCAGAGTAAAGAACCAGCAACACATGTGAGGACAGAGATCACAAGGTCGACCTCATAAACCCACACTGTGACCAGGACAGAGAGACAGGAGGCAGGGAAGGGAAACAGAGTGAATCGAGAATTGTGAGGTAATACAGTAAAATATCTGACACAGCCATAAACTACAGCTGCTTCTCCTTTTGCACCACAACAACAGAGGCAATGTCCAACGTCTATCAGGACAGACTGTGTGAGAGGGCATCTTTCCACGGTTTGAACCACAGTAACCTAGACATGATTATGTTCTCTGGGAGCTGGTGTGAAGAGTTAGTTTGAATCTGCATGATCTCATCCCTCAGACCATTAAAACATTTGTGTGGATGATTCAGCAGGGTTACTGCCGTTAACGGCTGTGGGTTCAGAGCTGTTTGAACTGGCTGTTCAACTTTAGAGATGACTGTTTTCCCTGGAGCGTATCCTCCATCATCCGGGCTTGAGTCAGAGTCAGCTGATGGAGATGTGTGTTTACAGAGCCCAAATGTGTGAGTGAGCCATGGTTCTGCTGAGCCTGTGGCACCATGTCTCTGTGATGAAGGGGTCAGGAGTCTGATTCATGTAGCAGTGACATGCTCAGGGTGAAGTGACGAGCTATTAGTGCACTTATCCTTGCTGGCGAAAGGAGATAAGCCTGGTGTTTAAAGATGTTAAAGCTGTGCAGAAACTTGCTCACTTGATCTACTCATTCCAGAAATCTCTGTCTGTGTGTGAGTCACATATCTTGAGAATCTTCATTTCATCAGCTGCAAGAAAGTGCAGTGTTGAATTTGGTGAATTTTCTCCAACATTATCAACTTTAAATAACGAGGTGACCAGTGCTCTGTAGCACTGGCAGCAGGGACCCCTCAAGAGACATTGTTCTGTTTAGGGTTCATCAAATGGGTTCATTTAAGGCAAACACTTATTCTCCAGTTCTGGGTTCTGAGACGAGCTTCATTTCCCTCCCGTATAAACAAGTGAATTCTCTTTTACAGTTTCTGAAAGAAAAACTGCAACTACAGGCCAAGCAAACAGTCCATTCCCCACAGGCATGGTTAGAACTGCACTGGTTTTATGTCTAATTCTCAATGTTTTTGTAAAATCAGTGTAAATTGCATGAAATTAAAGAACATTCATTGTCCAGAGGTAGATGAGCAACTTAGGCCGAATGTAATATCAAATGCCTACCGGCACTTCTAAAACTATACCTCCTGCTAAACAGCATAGAGGCTTTACACTATAATATGCTAATATCTGAGCTCCAGAGGTCCTGGCAGCTGTCTCCATGTATTTTAATTCATCAAACTGACATGAGAGTGGTGTCAATCATATCATGTATTTCTAAGGAAAGCCTGCAGCCGTTTCCCAAAATGTTGAAGTATTCCTTTACTTACTCTGATGGCTCTGACTACTAAAGGAAACAGGCAATTATGATTGTTACATAACACATCTAAGTTTTAAATCCAGAATCTTGATCTTGACAATCTGCTCAATCAATTACATGCTTTAATAAATCAAAGATGTCATGAGAAGTTACACATGGATTTCAGTGTCATTCATTGTCTGAGCCTTTTACATTTTACCTGTTCGCTATCTGATTTTGCTCATGAACGTTCCTGTGTGTAGGATTTAGCAGATCGACTGGCAGAAATGGAAAAGTATTTATTTCTTGAGACTTCATCTTGACTAATAGTTGTTAATTTTAAAATGAAAATGACCTATCCGTAGAAATACAACTGAAAACACGACGTGTGCATGCTGATGTAAACATGTAGCAGATTGTCCTCTCTGCAGGTTGAAGAAAACAGTACAAAGAGGAACAACAAGTGCAAAAAGTTCATTTCTTGAGCCAATGACAGGGTGGAAGTGTTACTGACAATAAGGGTTAGAAACACTTGTTGCATTCAATATGGTAGTCAAGTTGTGCCTTAAAAAAACCCAAATCAGGAAGTGAAAGTGGGTGTTTGCGTCACTGAATCCAGACTGTCCAGACTAACACAGTCATTTAAACTGGGCCAGAAGCTTTTCTCTGTTTTAAAGTAAGTCTGGAGTAAACACCAGATGTAAAAGTTGCAAAAGTAATGCATGGGTAGAAATGAGCCCTTCATATACATCTCTTCCACCATGTTGCACCGCCATTGCATTTTACTTTTCTCATGTTACCTGAAGGTTACTGTATGTTCTCCTAAGCTGCGTTTAAACATGCAGTGAACTCCGCAGATCCCCCGTTTTTTCTCCGGAGGAGGTGCATGTGTGAACACAAATGTTTGACTGTGAGCCTCCGGATTACCTGCGGACTTTCTCCTCCCAAAGCCAGCGCTTTCAAACCACTAGTCCAAAATGTTTCAGAGAAAGCCACACATCATAACCAGAGAAGAAGAACACAACCCAGTGTAACACGCCAAGAAATCATTTACAGTATATTTACACATGTGAAATGGTATTAAAATGTCGAACTAAAAATTACTTCAAAATATAACTAAACACCTTCATTTATTCAGATAAAAGATGAAATGGGAGCTGTGTGTGTGTGTGTTTGGAGGGTTAATGGTGTGCAAAGCCTGTGGCAGCTGGGGGCAGAACAGAGGAATGTTGTTTGCCACTGGATAAGGAAGCGTGGGAGCGATCTGAATGCAGGTATGGAGGAACAAAAGGAAAACTTAAAAACAAGATATGTTTATGAACCTTCAGACTTGCAGAGACAGACCTGGACATGCCCTGTTTGATACCAACAACTGAATCTTAACAGCACCACAGGAGGAAGAAGATTTTGCAACCAGACACAGAACGAACAAGAAAAGATTAATTCCTCATGTTTTTGGGAAGTTTATATAGAAAGTTGTTTTTTTTTGCCTTTTATATAAATGTGGAAATTTAAATCAATGCATTTAAACTGACTGGATCCTGTAGCAGATATAAGCACATGAATCTTACAATGGAGTGACTCTACTTGTTCACCAGAGGGCACTCATTCTTTTCAAAGAGTATATTTGTCCAGTAAATTGTCACAAGTAACACAGCAGACATGCAGTCTTATGTTTGGCTTTCACTTTATTTGCATCATATAGGGATAGAACACTGTGTAGTCACAGACCAACACTCAATATTTACAATTTATCTACTTGTTATACTGTAAAAGCACCTTTAGTCTTCCTCAGATTTCAAAATCAGTGAGTGTATGTTATCATATTTCTAGACAAAGTGACTGTTCTGGATGCTGTTTCTGACTGACTTAGTTAGCTTTGACAAAGGAGTTGTACAGGGAGGAGAGACGAGTCTGGAGGTCCTGTGCGTAGGGGTCCAGTCTCTGTCTCAGCTCATCAACGTAGGGGGTGGCCATGTCTTTCACCTGCTGGGCTCTCTGAGTCAACTCGCTCTGCACCTTCTCGGTCATTGGGGCCACGCGCTCCTTGAAGTCCTGCAGGTGCAGGTCAACCTTCTGCTTCAGGTCGTCAGTGTAGGGCCCCAGCTGAGTCTGCAGGTCCTTCACGCTCTGCTCCAGGCTGGTCTTCAGCTCCTCGCTCTTCTGCATCAGGGTGGCCCTCAGGGCCTCGGAGTCCACGGAGTCTGCGTAGGGGGCCAGCTCCTGTTTGAGCTGCTCCACCCTCTGCTGGATCTGGGCCTTCATGTCCTCAGTGTAGGGCTCCAGCTTCCCCCTGACAGTGCCCAGCTCTGTGATCACACGCTCCTTTAGCACTTCAGCCTCTGCAGTGACTTTGGCAATCACGTCCTGGGCTGAAGGGGGAAGCTGCTCCTGGAGGCTCACAGCGTATGTGCTGGCGAGGTCGGAACTTTCTGTGAGACGGGCACTAGACAGGAAAATGAGATTGAGATTAAGTTAAATTCATAGAAGGATTGTATCTCAGTTGCCAGCATCCAGTTTATTTCATGTCACACATTTTGTATGGCATACCTGACTTCCTGTCCAAACTGAGACTTCCTGATCATCTGCAGGGTGTCGTCAGCTGTCTGGGTGACTTTGGCAACATAGTCCCAGAAAGCATCAGTCATCACCTCCATCTGTGGCTTGGGTGCATCAGCGTAGAACAGGTTGGCTTGACAGCCTGTTCAAAGAAGAGATTGGTTTTAGTGTGACTGTTCAGCCATCAGACAGCCTGGTCTGAGGTTTGACAGTTGCATATTTACTCTTCACCAAACCTTGCAGTTCTTTATCGTACAGTTGGTATTTTTAAAAATCTAAAAGTCACTATAAGTATAATATATTTCCATCAAACTCACCGCTGAAGACAGCAAGGACGAGCACAACAAGGACCTTCATGGCTCTTAGACCTTGTGACAAAAAAAAAGAACAGAGAGTTAAGTCACCACAGCAAGCGGGAGGCAGCAAGACAGCCTCAGTGATTTCTCCAGCTCACCTGAGTTTGCAAGTGTATCTGCAAATCCACCTGTCAATGCTTGTGTTCAACTGGTGAAGTCCAGCAGCTTTTATAGCAAGCCAGGAAGGAATGATCACAAAGTCCAGGTGCTAGTGCCTTGCTGTCACCCTGCCTCACCCTGTCCTCACCGAGACCTTGTGCCAGAGACTCCATATTGTTAATACACACAGAAGCACACACGCGCGCACTCACACACACACACACACATATATCAGTGATTGTCTGGCATATACAATTATTTTATTTTAAATTATGACTATCCATGCATCCCTTTATGGCCTTACATGAACACCTGAATGTGTGATTCATCAGTGTTAGAGTGACAAAATCCAAAAGTTTCACCTCAAACAAACCCTCTCCTCACTGGATAGTTCACAGTGGTAATCACTGAGCTGTTAGCTTTTCTCTGCCACAGATACATCTCTGCAGAGACATACAAAATCTCTTTCTTTCATTTCTTTGATGCCCAGCTTTGATTAGATGTAAGAGAGGTGTTTTATTGTCTCTAATAGCTTGAGATTTTGCCAGCTGATGTCACATTAATTTATGGCTCTTGCCTCTGTGTCATGCCAACGTTTCAGTAATCTCTGTATATCACACTGAGCAAAGGTCAGCAGAGTCCACACCGTCATCTTTTGAATGACAAAGAAGCCGCAGTTTAACAGCGAACACAGCGCAATTCAGTTCGGAACTACTTTTAAAAAGCAGCATTTTTTTCCTTTGAGACTTGAAACTGTAGCATTTGATTGAGAAGTTTTATTCTGAGGTTCCTTCAAAACTTACATACAAGTGTGCTCAATTGTATATGAATTTATCTCCTGCTTCTCTTTATATAAAGAAAAGGTTTGGTAAATTTACTATGAACTACAGTAAGTGTCTCAGTGATAAGTAGTGTTTGTTAGTAGTTTGAAGAGTCAAGTGGTTTTCAGAATACTACTATACTAACATGAAACTACTAATGACATTGTTAATAAAAAGTGATATTACCAGAACTATGTATACAGTGAGCTAAACACACTTGCAGTTAAAGCTGATGACGTTTAGCCATTATTGGAACAATTGTAAAACTGTATAACGTGCGTTATAATAAACTTTTTACTTTATGTAAATAAACAGGATACACAAATAATAACAATAAAGGGGGATCCCACCCACCCATCCCTCAGGTCCAGTCCACTGGATTAGTTAGTACACAGAAGAAGAATATTAATGACAATAATACACAAAGTAACAGCTATTGATTGATTTAACACGTATAAGACTTTACACTGTATAAGAGTGAAAGGAAAAATGATGCCTGTCACTATTATCTTTAACAAACTGGTCGATGTAACAGTTTCACTTGTGCAGCAACAGCTATAAAAAAGAAGTTCCACTGAAAGAAGCTGCTGGTGACTAAATAGATCAATGTCCACATAGGTCATTATGACTTTTCACATTTCTGTTAAGAATAAAACTAAAACCAACAAAATGTGTCAAAAAACGTTTTCAGCAAAACTTTATCTCAACCTCCAGCTGAAGACTGTGAACTTGAACACAGGGTATTTTTTATTTGTTGAATATTGTAATAGATGAAACCTTTATTTCCTCTGACATTACCTTTGTGTGGTCAGTGAGTGAGTGAGTGAATTAGTTAGGTAGTTAGTTAGTTATCTTAGTCATTTAGTTAAAGGCTGTCGTATGGCTGAACGAATAATTCATGGACCATGATGAAAACAATCCGACATGTTTAGGAGACTGGTGTTTATGAGGAAGAACAATTTTGTGCGAGTCCAAATTAAAATCTGAATCAAGTTTATCTAAATTTGGTGTCATGAGGGTTCTGTTGAGGTTTACACTTTATTGAGTCTTCTCAGGCCTTCTCTGTCTTTTTAATACATCATCCTCAAACATCTCTCCATCTCACTGTTCGAATATTAAGGCCTGAAGTGTCAACAGTGTCAGAGAAATACAATTTGACAGTGAACTGGAAAATATTGTAGTTCTGACTGTGACTTCATTACTTATTGACCCTTGGCACAAATTCAACCTTCTAGATAAAGTAAAGTTGATCATCTGTGTAATAATATTTATTTTCAATACAAAAATCTTTTGAGAGCCTCGTGCTCGTTTATTCACGTCACCTGACCCTAAAACAAAGTCCAGCAGTGAAAGAAAACCAAGGTTATCTGGAGTTATCTCCCGGCTGTTAGCAATGAACTACGTGGATAGTTTCATGCTTTCTAGAAAGGGGGTCAGAGGAGAACATTGGCAACATTCCTTTTGGGTGTGAGTTTTGTTGTTATGAAATATCTACAATGCACATAACTTCTGTGTGGTGTAAAGATTGTGTCTGTGGGTCGTAGCTCATTGCTCATGTGATAGTAGACATGCGGGAGAGGCAGCAGACACAGGAAGAGAGCCATCGTGACAACATGGCAGGAACTCCTGGACTTTGGGCCCTTGACTACAACTGTCACCTGGCTTCAGTATATATACAGGGAAGCTCCCTGACACACTCGCAAAAACACGCTTAACCCTGAGAGACACACAAGCCAAAAGCAGGTGAGAGTTAGACAACATTTCAAAACAAAACTTCAAGAGGGAAATTTGAAAGATTTGACTTTTGTTAATGAGGCTTAAAACAACATTATTATTGTTTTTCAGGAAGACACAGTCATGAAGGTGTTTGTGGTATTAGCCATTGCTGTGCTGTCTGGTAAGTTTAGCTTTTACCTTATCAGAAATCAGTAATGATCAGTCAATAAAGCCAAATCAAGGCTAATGTTGTATTTTTATGTTGAGAAAACAGAATAATGGTTCAAAATGTTGCACTATCTCCTCTGAACAGGCTGTCATGCCAACCTCTTCTATGCTGATGAGCCCAAGCCACAGATGGAAGTGCTGATTGATTCTTTCTGGGACTACATTGCGAAGGCCACCCAGACAGCTGACGACACCCTGCAGATGATCAGGAAGTCTGAGTTTGGACAGGAAGTCAAGTAAGTTGTACGAGATACTGGACCCTGATGACTGAGTTGACACATGTTGGTAATACACAAGCATTGTATTGGTCTCACCTTTACTTCTGTCACCTAGTGGCCGCCTGGCAGATAGTGCCGACCTCGCCAGCACCTATGCAGTCACCCTCCAGGAGCAGCTTCCCCCTGCAGCCCAGAACCTCATGACCAAGATCACCAGAGAGGCTGACGTGCTGAGAAACGTGCTGACCAAGGAGCTGGGCACTGTCAGGGAGAAGCTGGAGCCCTACACTGAGGACATGAAGGCCCAGATCCAGCAGAGAGTGGAGCAGCTTAAACAGGAGCTGGCTCCCTACGCAGACTCCCTGGACTCCGACACCCTGAGGGCCACCCTGATGCAGAGGAGTGAGGAGCTGAAGACCGGCCTGGAGCAGAGCGTGAAGGACCTGCAGGCTCAGCTGGGGCCCTACACCGACGACCTAAGGCAGAAGGTGGATCAGCACCTGCAGGACTTCCAAGATAGTGTGGCCCCGATGACCGAGAAGGTGCAGGTTGAGCTGAGTCAAAGAGCCAACTTGGTGAAAACAATGGTGGCCCCCTATGCTGAGGACCTGAGAGGAAAGCTTGACCCCTACGCTCAGGACCTCCAAGCCCAGCTCATGTCCTTCTACCAGTCCTTTGTCAATGCCAACTGAGTCATCCTCTACAACAAGATGCCGGCCTTGTTTGGTCTACCTCTGTTTGAACCATGTAATAATTTAAATATCTGAACTGTACTGTAAAACAAATTAAACATAATATTTATTGCTAATTGCAATATTTGCAAAGCAGACATCTGTATATACTTAGTTTTTATTGTGGATTGATAGTTGGAAACTGTAATTCTTTTCTGTAAGATATGAAAGAATAAATAGATGAATCCGAAAAAAAAGGTCATTATTTTATGAAGTAGTCTTTTACAGAATAGGTGTCTAATCCATACATCCAATCATAAATATTCATGAATGTCTTTCTGTTACTGTCACTTCACAAACACACGGGGGGATTACTTTGGTCGCAATCAATTGTGGCACACGTGCTGTTATTCTCTCTGTTCCCAGAAAGCAGCTTGGTATTTTGGTATAATCTTCCATGTCTCAACATGTCATGGCTCCTGTTACACTTTTGATTCCCCAAGTTTTTTTTTTCCCAAGAGGCAGACTACTTTTCTTATTCTTGTACTTGTCATCACTTGCCAGGAAACTACGCCTTCCTGGTGTCAAAGCTGAACATGCAGGGAGAAACGTGGATGACCAACGTGATGTGAGAGAGAGGCCTTCACATTTCAGTCATGGGGTTTATCCTATTTGATCTCAAAAAACAAAACAAAAGTATGTGTATTAAGAACCTCAGAACTTTCTCTACAATGAAAAACAAAAATTGTGCAACATCTAACCATTGCACAACACAAAGCCTTATCCTTCCCCTATATTGAGAGCGCCAGCATCCAACGTGGAGGGTCAGAGTCTACTGACACACACACACACACACACACACACACACACACACACACACAGACTTCTTTGCATTGATTCATTGTGGACCAGCTAACCACAACCTTATTCCTCACCTTAACCCACATCTATACCCCTAACCATAACCAGGACCTAAGAAATGTAGTTTTGATTAATTTCATTTAGACTGGGCTTTAGCCCCATGAGGTCCAAGGTTGTAAAGATTTTACAAAAACGAGTAGACACATTAACACACAATTTATAACAGACGATTGCAAAAATTGGAAAAAGGATTACTCTTAATAGAGCTCATACCTCTGCCAAGTCAAATTTTCTACAGACATAGATAAAATTTCCCTTAATACTGTATGCCTGATTTTATTTTCTATAGGATGCCAAAAACCTTGCAATTTTAAAGAAAGAAAGAAAAACCCGGATCCCTTGCTTTATCCAGATCTATGCCAAATGTCATGGTTTATTTCTTGGCCCATTTCCCATCATCCCACCAAGTTTAGTGGAAATCAGTACAGTGTTTTTTGTGTAATCCTGCTGAAAAACATAACCTCCTTAATGAAAGTAACAATATGTTTAGGTCATTCTTGAGATATCCTACAAGTGAAAGCATTAAATATAAACAGTACTTTGGGGGTTTGGGAGTGTGTTTTGACAGGAATACATTTTTTAAGTTTTGGACAGATTGTCCTCATCAGTTACTGATGATTTGTTGTGCAAGTTTGTACTTTTTCGTCTTTTTACTCAATAGAATAGAATCTGGCTTTGATTTAATGACAGTAGTGCTACATCCACTGAGGAGCAAACAGCTGAAAATCTTTGACTTTAAAAATGCAAATCTGATGTGAGATTTTCATGTGTCAGCCTGTTTAGCACTTGAGTGGCCACTCGTCAAGTCACATTATCAGTCAAAAGAGCCAGAAGGCGTTGTTAAGGCCTTGATCCCAATGGCCATGTACCAAACTAAAGGCTAGACGAATGTCTGCCCCTTTCACACTCCGTACACTTAGAGGGAGCTTTTGTTTCAGCCAAGTTGCTTTGAACAAGACACATCTTGCCATATTTACCACAGTGATAAATAGTGATTTAGTGTTGTTTTGATGTAGATAGGAGGTTGTTACTGCTGTTGCTGCTGGTTAGATAAGCAGATCAGAGCCTGTTGGCATCAGAAGATAACTGTCTCCGTCTGTCACTGGGTCATTGTGATGCTCTCAGGCAGTGAGCTTTGTCCCACCTTTTTGTCCTCTGTGGACTGTGGGAGGATTCACCTAAGACATAGTTGAAATGTCCTATGATCAACAACTCGAGTCAATAAAGAAATCTGATTATAAGGTGTTGTCTGTAGGAGACTGATTGCGTGGGACTGCCAAGGGAAACTGTTCCATTCTGACCAAGGTTGAGACTAGTGGTGGGTAATGAGAGGATCAGGACCGGAGGTTACAGGGCTTTTTCTGTCAGGGCTCCCACTCTTTGGAACAATCTCCCTGAGGAGCTGTGTCTGCAAACTCATTATCTGCTATCAGAATAATTTTATGATATTTTATAAGTTCTTGTATTCTCACCTGTAACATTTTTTTATTTCTCTATTGCTGTGTGATATTTCAAATTCTGAACACTCACACTATTTACTGTACATCTTTGACGTACTTGAATTTGATTCAAGCGCTATGCTACTTTGTTCTTCTTCTCATCTACATTTGAGAGGAAGGTTTTTTACTTTTCACTTTCAACATTTAAGAAACATTTAAGGTACTGGTTACTTTTACACACTAAATATATCATCAGTTCCCAAAATAAAGTTAATCAGAACTTACAGCACATCTGCACATGTTAATGCATCAATACTACTAATAATAATAATACAAATAATAAGTAATAATAACTATTTTATTTTATTATTGTGCATATGTGGCTTTGCAGCTTTAACAAGCATAAATGGAAAATGTTGTGAGAACAAAAGTCATTGTTCCATGAGCCAATAGAAGAGGCAACACTGCCCCCCAGTGACAGAGCAGTGTAAGTGCTTCAGTGTGAAAGAAACGTCTCAGTGTTACAATGAGGAGTTAAAGGTTCGGTGTGTAAGATTTAGGTGAAAAATATTCCTGGTGGGGTTGTGCCGTGCCATCCCAATACGATTTAACACAAACTGCAGGATACCAGTTCTTTGTGGAATAGTAGTTATTATTTAATCAATAAACAATAATAAATATGTCAGTCATTTTTACACAAAAACAGATAGCTAACAGTAAACTGCATACTGCACAAACAAACTGAAGAAAATAAATCAAAATAATATATACAAAAATAATAATAATTATCAGCCGATTGATAAATAATGTAAATTATTAATAGTTGTTGCCCTTGTGCATCATTAGACTACAGACTGAATCTAATTAGTGTTTACTAAGTACACATTCCTGAAACATATACAGTGCTATTCACAAACACTATTATATGTTTATATAACAGACAAAATAAAAGGAGGTGCCATATACTGCTGGATATCTTATGACTCATACTCTATAGTTCCTGCTAGCCACACCTTTCTGCTGTACCAGTTACGGGAAAATTCTTGGGTGTACATTTGACGTTTTTTTTGCTGGCTTGTTGGCTGATTTTAATATCAGGTTAATCTGGTCCAAATTCTTTTATTCACAGTTTTTCAACCAAAGTTCTCTTCTCGAATGGAGGTTGGAGAAGAGATTGTACCAAATTTTGACTGCTGCGATGTTGTTTTGTGCGTACCTGTGGCCGTCATTGTTGCTAGAACCATCTGATTTCCTCCACCACTGCCACTGAGGGACCGGGCTTGGGGCACTATCAGAATCACCCTTCGGCCATTATTTTTGACGATGTTGATTGGCCAAATTTACTTTGCCGTATGTGTATCTTACCCAGTCCCTTACTCATCTCTGCTTTTTTATGTTTTTATGACAACTGAAGGCTACCACATGTTTAGAAGGGGAGGGTGAGAGTTCCCATGCTGAGCAAACACTCGTACAGAAAGAAAAATCTGGCAAAACCAGACTCAGGGGTGAGATTGAGAAGGAGGAGAGAAACAGGAGGAGGAGGGGGAGAAAGAAGTCAAAAGACAGTAATTATCACACTTTTAAATTAATTTAAAATTATATCATTATTATTATTAATTAGATAAGATAAAACAGTATCACTGGGGAAATTCACCATCAGAGGGGGAAAAACAAGGTAGAAGAGAGAAAGTGAGCAAGTGAAAGTGCAAAATAAACAAAAAATAAAATATAAAAAAAATAGAGATAAAGAAATTGAGAGAAAATAGAGAAATATATATACTTTTCTGTACAGTATATTATGGGTACAGATACAAGTTCTTGAACAAAGTGCATTGGAGCGGTATGAAATAAGCAGCATAATTCACTATAGACACTCCTGTTCAGAACTCAGAGCTCATTTTAGGATTATATAATCACCATTTATTTTGAGTTCTCAGCTGGAGTAACTGGAATGTCTTAACAAGCAGTGGTCCAGCCTTAAGGTAAATTCCTCTGACAAGTTAAAGGTACAAAACATCAATCAGCTTCAAACCTGATATGGTCTCACATGAAGAAAACTTGTTCTTTTGAGTTTGTATCCATGGAGGTTAGAGGCGGGCAGGGCTCAGACAAAATATGATGACAGATGTGGGGTTTTTTGCACAAGGAAAGAAAAGAAATGTACATTTATCAATGTATCATGAATTCATTCCTAGAGTCTGGGAAAATGTGGAAGAGCATATTCAAGCTAAAAGTTGCTGAAAGGAACAGATCAGGAAACAGGTCCAGGTTTATAGATTCATGATTCAGGTTGTGGCTGTAACAACGCCAGTGGGAATAAGCTGACCTAGGCAGGAGTGAGAAACATATGGGTGAGGCTGAAGGAGGGAGACTGGATAAGGTTGATTTTATCTTTAATTATGATGTTTTACACACTGGCCTGCAGCAGTGTCCTCTGTGAGAGCACAAACAACAAGGAAGAAAAGCCAAAGTCAACAACAAGTCTCGTCCAACACAACATTTAGTAAAAGGTTAGCCCTGCAAGTCTATTAAATTCTAACTTCTCTGTCAATCTATAGTCAGCTGCAGGATGACGGTTCAATGTCCACAGATCAGCAGAGCTGTAGCTTTGTTCACTTTAACACATGGCTTTGTAGTCTTGGATCCATCTCGTGGTATTTCAGTCAGAGAGGAATGCATGAACTTTACCTTTCCACTGATGTAAGTGTGCGTGTGTTCTTGGTATGGACGCAGCTTGTATTTCATTTCTCTTTGACAGTTTCACACATGACTTAGATGACAGGTTGCAGTCTTTTGTCTGCTGTGAAGTGTTGTAACGTCTGGTATTAGATTTTTTTCGACCAGACACCTGTGCATAGTGCACAATATTGCTTACACTCTTTTTGCTCTCTATATTAAAGTAATTTAACAAAGCAAGATATTAAAAAGACTAATAGCAAATTATCTTTAACAACTCTAACTTTGATAAATTTATAATTTTGCTGTTTTTTTTTCTTCCAAACAGAAAATGTACATTTTCAGCACTCTACTGGTGAGTTTGGTTTTGCAGCAGGCGTCCACCTTGGTAGGTTTGCACATTTTAAGCATGTCGCTAACATCTTATTTATCAACAATATGATCAATCTCACATTTGTGTGCATGCATCCACAGCCCATTTCATCTGCAGGAGTGACCGGAGGTGATGTAATGACAGCAGCTTTGTTGCTCAAAGGAGCTGATGACTTCAAACAACTATTTATTTGAAGTCAATTGATTTAATGAGTAATCTTATTTTTTATTCAGCTCATAATGACTAATCCAGCTGAGATCATGTGGAGTGACATAATCATTTTTGGAATCATACATTTCAGTCATAATAAAAAGTTTTTCTTTTATCTGATGTTATCTTGTTTTTTAACAGATTGCTATGGAATTGAAGATGAACCAGATATTGTTGAGATAAATAAAGGTGTGTTAAAGAAAAAACATGTAGCAATCATTCATTACACAAATGTATAAAATGACTAGATCTATGTTATATATTTTGTTGACGTGTACTTACATTACCTAAATGTTTCCAACAAAAAATCCTGAGTAATCCCAAATGTTATTCAAGGTAGTTTGAAGTTTCATTTTGGTCGCTTTTTAATGGATCATAAGTAATATTTTCGATTGAAAGATAAACTTACCTTTCAGATCTGAATCTACATGATGGAGACATACAAGTGATAACAGTGAGAATCTTTACTGTCGTACTGTTAAAGAAATACAGTCAAACAATACTTGCAATACTCTGGTGTGATTACTCATTTTCTTCCTCTTGTATCACAAAGGGCCGTGACAGGAACATTGTTCTGGAAGACCAGATGAGATGGGAGATACCGGTCCCATATGTGCTGGATGAGAGCCTCGGTGCGACAGAGGAATCTTCATTGTTTTCATTCAGCTGCGAAGAGAACAAACTGATTTATGTGCTGATAAATAACACTGTATCTCTATTTGTTTGCTCTCACTGCAACACAGACTTGAATGCCAAAGGGGTTGTTCTACAGGCTTTTGACCAAATACGGCTGAAAACATGCATCGACTTCAAACCCTGGGAAGACGAACCAAACTACATCGTGGTCGTCAAAGACGATGGGTGCTTAATTATATCTTTGTATATAATGACATAGAAGGCTCAGTCTGAAGTCTTGGCTTTGTCCACATTCAGATTTTTTTTTTTCATGTTAGTCGATGAGGATATTACATGTCTACATGTCAAGATTTATGATATTTTGTCTCACCAAATGTGAAGCCAAAGCATCTCATTCGCCCCCTAGTGGCTGGCTACAGTAAAGGTTATAAACCCTGCCTCCTCTATGTAAGTGGATGGGATACTGACCAACCTAAAAGACCACATCAAACACCTTTTTCTCAAAGATAGTTTCTGTATAAGGCAAGTGTGAATTTTTCCATTAAGTCTAGTTTTAATTAATTTGATGCTGTACAAATGGGGTGAAACGTCATAATTTACAGCTAAGATTGATTACAGCATGTGTCGGCAAGACCCCAATACTGTGGCTCCATCTCCCAACACTGGCACCAAGTGACATCATCTCCGTAAGATGGCAGCGATACTATCTGGGATATTTTGGCTTAATTTCTGGATAGTGGGAGGAGGTGGAGATGTGTCGCTCATCTTTACATATCGTGAACCCAGTTCTCTCATTTACTGATTTCTTTAGACATTTGGCAAGAAAGGGGTTAATTCCCCAAATGTCAAACTATAAGCGTAACTGCATTATTTGCCTTTTTGCCCTTTTGCCTATGTTCTGTCCATAGATGTTGGTCATATGTCGGGAATCAACGTCAAGGAAACCAAAGTCTCTCTATTGGAGAATGGTGTGATCACCTCGCAATTGTGGAGCATGAGTTTCTTCATGCATTGGGCTTCTGGCATGAACAGTCAAGATATGACAGAGATGAGTACATCACCATAGTCTGGGAAAACGTAGAAGAAGGTTTGTTTAACTTTTAGCTGAATGTATCATTCTGATTGCAAACATGTTTGTATGCCAAAGGAAAAAAACATATATATCATCATGTTTTGCTCAGGAAAGGAACACAATTTCTTGAAACATAGTGAAAATTATACAACCACATTTGGAACGATGTATGATTACGCATCTGTGATGCACTATGGAAAAGATGCCTTCTCGAATGGCAATGGGTCCACAATCATCACTAATCAACTGGAGTACCAAGACTTAATTGGTCAGCGTCTAGAAATGAGCTCTAATGATGTACGGAAACTCCAACAGCTTTATAACTGCAGTAAGTATTTCACCAAACAATGTTATCTATCTGTGTTTTTTGTTACGCAGATGATGACGACTGTTTTTGGGTTCACAGCCTCTGCCGTCACCTTTCTGATGTCATGCAGCTTTGAGGACGAGAGAGTGTGTGATGTGAGTCTTTGTGCTGCAGGAAACACCAGCTGGGAGAGAGTCAGCAGCACAAACGCTGGGCCGTTCTCCGACCACACCAGCCTGAGTGCACAGGGAGGTATGAACCTGAAAGTACTTAAGTTCCTTTTCATTCGTTCATTTTTAATAAAGTGATCTTCATATCATTGTGATAGATAGGAAAGAGGCAGTGAAAATGTTATATCAGCAATGGCAACTTCTAAATAAACAACACTTGCATTTTCATTATGTTTACAGGCAACCAAACAATCTCTTCTCATGAAAATGGCACAACAACAAGTCAAAATGGTGAGTTGTCTGTTAATGCTACTACAATATCCAGTTTTGAGTTATGAGTCAGAATTTCCAACATTATTTTTGCACACAAATGTTTTTCTCTACATTGCTGCCAACTGCATGAGGATCACTTCAGTGCCTAATTGTGTGTAGGTGGAGGCTCCTTCATGCACTGCAGCACGTCTTATGGAAAAGAGGGGGATGGTGCCAAAATGCAGAGCAGGAGAATGAATCCAAAGAGGCAACTTCAGTGTCTCCAGTTTTTCTATTTTCGCAGTGGCAGTGACAAAGACCAGCTCAACCTCTGGATCAGAGAGTATAACAGGGATGCTGAGGAAACCACCTATTTAATGGGACAGATCACAGGTCAAATTACACTTCATGCTGTATTCAAAAAACGAAGAAGAAGTCTATCTAATATGGATGTAGTGTAGAGAGACTAATGTCAACCCCAATAATATATTCTACTTATAATCTTGTAATCCTGTCCTGCACTCAAGCTTTATTTGTCGCCAGATTGTCTGTGACCATGTTGGTGACCCCCTCAAGCAACATCTTTGAAAAGTTCAAACATAGCGATTGGCGACTGCCAATCAAACGCTGATTTGCCTCTCATTTGAGGCTATGGTCGGTAACTTCCAAACCACGTTAGCAACTATAAAATCTGGCTTACAATTGTGCATGCATAATTGTCATGTACTTTAACTAATGTGTTTCCAAGCCTTTAAGTTGGAGCATGTGCTCTTACTGCATTCCAGTTATATAAGTCATTCTGTATGTCCATCATCATTTGCCAGGTCCACCAACATCCCACTGGCAGCTCCATCACATTCCTCTCAATGCCACCAGGCCCTTCCAGGTGGAGTTTGAGGTTCGAAAAGGAGCAGGAAACTCCTCTGGGGGATTTTCAGTCGATGACGTCAACCTGTTTGAAGCTAAGTGTCCACATCACGTCTGGCACATTTCCAATTTTGACCACTTTCTGATAAACAGCAGCATCGGTACAAGCTTACTGAGCCCACGTTTCCTAACCAGACAGGGCTATGGCCTGCAGCTCCTGCTGTACCTCTACCCCGACCACTTCGGTGTTTTCTTTCGGCTGGTGTCCACAGATTACAACGAGCAGCTCCAGTGGCCATGTGCGAGGAGACAGATGACTGTCTCATTGCTGGACCAGAGTCACCATGTCCAGCAGCGGATGTCAAAGCAAATAAGCATCACAACCAATTCAGAGAGAACGTTCAGTGGAGGTGAGCAGGAGGCACTGATATTAGACAAACTAAAATATTATGAAGAATTGTACTATATGTGTGTGTATATTGAGAGTGTGCAATATGTGTTTTTCACATCAAGAAAATGGTGAGACATTTCAATACTGGGATAACCCCAGGAAGGTGGGGCATCTCATCAATGAAACCAATGGAGAGTCGTACTATGCTGGTCCGAACCTCGGCTATAGGACTTTCCTGTCTTTCGATGCATTTTGGTCAGGGAACTTTATAAAAGGAGGCAGTGTCTTCATTCTCCTCAACTTTGATGGTACGTGATATCACCAACCCTTCCAACTGAAATTTACCATTGAGCAATTTTGACATTGATAAAGTTCCTATTTTATGCATCATCTTGTTCACTGAACCTTAAGTACATGGTGCTGATGTTTTTAAGACTGCTCCATTAAATTAGATTGATGCTTACCTGGAGTCATTTAACTCTAGCTGGGTTACTGTTCAATCTTCTTGTGTCAGGGAATCTGGATGAGTTCCAGTAAAGTTAAACCACCACTTTATGTCAGTTTACAGATATTCTGTCAATCAGCAACATACTTTATACATTAAACACTTTTGTTTACAGATTTATCAAATCTACAGCTGAATGGCCCAGATCTCCCTGAGCCTCAGAAATGGTCAAACGTGAGCCTCATGACCCTGATGCAGACAGACGATAAGGGAGGCTGCCTAAACCAACTGTAAGAGATGCAGCTGACAGATAAATATCAAGGAACAGAAAAAATACAGTGTGTGTTGAAAGATACAGTCTCTAGTGACACATACTGTGTCAAATGCCTGTACCAGTGATAACCCCCTACCTCTTCTGACAGGATGGAAAACAGTACAACAATTCTCATTCCTTCGTATGTGTCATCCTCTGCAGTCAGGTACACTGATCTTTGTGTCAATGGCAGCTTCTTTACAGTCTTTACTTACATCTTGTAATAATAAAACGTCATTAAGATATTATGGAAAACAATGTGTCACAGCCAAAAACACAAACATTAAATTTGATAAAATATAAAAGCAGCAGATCATGACAATTCATGATATTATTCTGTCTGTCAACAGACTAGTCGATCAACTTGTTGTTGCAGCCATGTATATGAAAATTAAACAATGTTCTAAAATGCATTTGACACATTAATAGCACTGCACTTCTGATTTGCACTTAAATCAATACAATTATAGCTTTACTTAAACAATTCTCTGTTGTAACCACCCTGTTGTCTCACCAGTCTTCCCACAGGAACCATGATGACAGCCTCACTGGTCCTGATGGCAGGAAGCCTCCACTTGACACCCTGAAAATGTCAGCTTTTTATTTGACAGAAAGTGGGACATAATTGGTATATAACAAGATTTTACCCTGCAGTACTGGAGTGTGTACGTAACATTAATCAAGAATCAAGATTTTTGTTAATCATTCATCACAATCTCATGAGTTTTAATTTCATAACAGAAATCTGCCAATAAACCACTTTTACAGGAATACGCTCAGATTTTTTTCCAACATGTAGAATTGGAGGACCTTTTTGTGTTGAGGTGTTTCAAAAGAGCTTTTACTATTTGATGATTTTGTAGTGTAAGAACAATGATTTTAATCTTGTTTAATTTACCTTTTAAGTAATAAAATTAGGCATTTTCTAATAATAATGATTTCACTGCAATAGGTTTATCACCATGCTGGACGCTGAAGAACAACTTTATAAAAGATGTACGTCTTGAAATAACTTTGCTCTCACTAACAAGTTGAGGGTCATGTTTACTTAACACATTACTTAACAAATTATTAACTTTCCTAACCCCAAGGTCTTGAAGCTCTTGACTGTCGCCAACTACACATTCCTCCAGAGTAAGGTTTTTACAGCGTTCATCATTTAAGTTCATCGTGTTAGCATGTAAACTTTTAATAATTAGCACTGAACAAATGGTCRATGGTTTTGCAGGTATTTTGACCAGAATAGAGAATGGGGTAAGATAAGTCACTTTTACATTTGATRGTTTTACTGTAAAACAGGAGTTACTATATATACCTCAGGTTGTTGTTGTGTACCCATGGAAATTAAAACAAGTTATCTAATTATTTTGGTTTCAGAACAATGACCCATCAAAAAAAGTTGGTCCTTTGGCACAACTTACTCCAAGCTGAGGGTAAAATGATCTTAGCGATGGGGTAAATTGAACCCTCTAAGGGTAAATAGTAGCACCATTAAAAACTGATGTGCTATAGTCAAGCATCAAAGATGGAATGAATAATGTCCACTACACTTCCTTAATTTGTGCTCACGTAACGACATTGTCTAATGACACTGAGAGACAGGGAGTGGCTCATCTTAACAACTCACTTGACTAGATTTGTCCTCAGGGAGACATGAATGCATACACTGAAATCCACATTGGCTAGTTGTGTAGATTTGGTCATTGAAAATTAGATTCAACCCGATGATGGTGGTAGCAGAGAACTCTGAGATGTCTAAAGTAATTCTAGGACATCATCTGGGTACCATGATCATCTGCACCAAGATTAACGCAAGTCCATTCATTAGTTAGGCCTTTTAAGACATTTCAGCATGAACCAGAAGTGGTGTGACAACTGACGTATCCCTGAGTGCGCAGCTATGCTGCGAAAATAGTTGAGAATGTCACAAGAGACTTAAGAAGATTAGATGTTCTTTTGAAAACCATGACATCTGTCAAGACTCTTTCACAGTCCTTGAATGTGGCTGGTTTGGTTTGACAGGGTCACACCTTTTTAAAGTGGTCCACTGTCTCAACCACTTTTTACCTGCCTCGATATACTGATATTTACAGTCTTATATCACCTATCACAGCCTCTCATTCTGGCAATCTATCAAATTAATCCTGGGTCAATAATTCTGCTTCCCACATTTGTTTAGCAACAGAATAATTTGTAGTTGAGCAGAAGATACTGATACATACAAAACAAGGTCAAATGGTCGAGGGACTTGTAACAAAAGTCTGCCAACACTGAACTCTAGGTTTAATTTTAGTTTAGTTTTGGTTTGGGTATGCATGAAAGACAAATGTCCCCTATAATGCTGGGACTGGGACAGCTGTTTATTTTGCTTGGGTCTTCGAAAGAATTTGTTCAACAATACTATGCTGGGTAGGTCTAGAGGGAGGGAAAATGCAACATGTGAGATTGATGTTGGAGGACAGACTTGTTGAACTTGTCCAGTTACAACAGTTTAAGGTGTAAAATATGCAGTTAAAAGTTAATAATATGAGAAATGTGTTAATCAATGAAGACATTTGGAGAATCAGCTAACAAGAATCATTACTTGAAAGAGACAGAGATCCAGTGCAAAGCAACACAAAAGTGAGAATTGCAACAAAATATTTTAGAACTGATGGTTTTTATGTTTGAGGATTAAGCTATGTCCCTACATCAAATTTATTTCTATTGCAATCCTCTCCATTTTGGGGAGATTTGTTTGGGATCATGTATATCAGTATTATTGTTGTGCTGAGCATATTTCATCTTTCCATGGTAAAAACATTTATATTTATTTGATATTTGTCTATGAATTGATTTCAGTTTGAGTCTTTAGACCCATGCTTGATGTTGTTAGTGGTACATGTTGGCCCCTATTTGGCTAATGAGCAAAAATTTAATTCTGCTAATGAACAAACAAACAAGGTCCTTGACAAAGATGATGCATTTCAACCTGGTTGCTCTTAAGGAAAAATTACAGGAGCACTAAAGCCAGTAGGATCCTCTGAAAATCTTGGTCCTAAATATAACTGCAACACTTACACCAGTTGCTGAATTATTTCAGTCTGTGTTATGGTGGTGGAAAGATTGACAATTTACATTATTATCTATAGAGCCTTACAGCCTGGGTAGCTACAGAAAATCTGAATGCTGCCAAGTCTTTCCAGGTTGTGTTTGAGGTCCGTAAAGGATATGTTGATTCTTCCAGAGGCTTTTCCATTGATGACATCAACCCATCAGACTCTGTCTGCCAAATTAAGTACTTTGAGAGTCTTTTGACAACCTCTGCCAACAACAGTTACCTGCTCAGTCCTTAAATGTATTCTACAGAGGGATGGCTATGCATACCAGGTGTCAATTGTCTTTCGAGAAACTTTTTTTGGAGTTCATTATCAATTGATGTCAGGGGACTATTATCCAGCACTGCAATGGCCTTGCCCATGGAGGCAGGTGACCGTCATCATACTCGATGAAGACTCTAAAATCCAAGAACAGATGTCCAAGCAAATCACTCTAACTACTGATACATCATCTAGTGAGTCTAAATTCATAAATAAGACATATCTCTATGGTCTAGTATGATCGCTGACCTATCACTACAGCCAACATGATCTCTGTGTACAGAAAATATTCAACAAACAATGAAGCTGCATGCAGAAAATTCCACAAAAACCTGTTTTGCAAGTGGGCAGTCGTCCGTGCTTAAAAGCCAGCTCTTGCAAAGCTTCTGTGCAGCTGAGGAATTGACGGTCAGACTGGCAGAAGGTAAACATGAGTGGCCTTTTCTATCCTATTTCAAATTAAATTAAACTTACAATTAACTTACACAAATTGTAGCTTTATTGCATTACCTTTCAATATGTTGGATTTCTTTTCATGGTTCACCATATTCTCTGTTGTTTGAATTAAGTTGGTCGAAGACAAACTACAAGGATGAAAGTCTTCATTTTCCTTGTGGTAAACTT